TTTTTTTTTTTTTTTTTTTTTTCTATAAGTCATCCGTGATCTCTCTAATTTACTGCACAGATGCAGAGCAACATGGAATCTTCTTGTTTCACATACGTGTAGGTAAGGAAACAAAAAATAAATAACGGCATCATCTATACATTTGTCCTTCAATAGTAAGAAATAAATCAAAATGCACAAACTGAACCATGTCCTCACCGTTGTAGTTTTTCATCCCTGTGTGCTCGTCTTGCCAACTTTGTAGCTTTTCTAGAATTAGGGTGTACAACTTTCTTGCAATGTACTTTTGACTTTCCTTCTTTTGGCTGCCAAGAAGAACATTGAATATGAGACTACATTACTGGAGTTTCTCTGGAAAACATGAGGTTAGCTGCATGTATGTCAGCTGTACTCGAAAACCGTATCCGTATTCAATCAAACACAATCACGCTATTGAAGTCAAATGATTCTTAAATTCCAACAAGGTTAAGATGCAAATACGTACCATTTTTAGCTTGGAAAGAACGTAAACAACGAAAAAACATTGATTGTACTTGTTGTTTGTTGAGCAATCTTTCCACGTGAGAATCTTTGTGAGCCTGCTAATGGTCAGCTGATGTCTAGTTGGTGATTATGCGTACTACCCGGAACAAAACAAAATGGCGGCCCGGTTGAGGAGTGCGTTTAGAAATGTAAACCGGATAAATAACATGTTTCTTCCTCAGTTTGAAAACCTGAAGCAGAGAAAACTTGGGAGGTCAGCTTACAATGTGTTCGTCGATTACAAGGCTGTGTTTAAGGATTCTTATCTGTATGCAAAAGGGAAGCCACTACGTTCAGCGACAACATTAGGTGTGCTTCTTGGACTGTACTACCTTTACCACGAAAATTCTGACGCGAACTCGTACGAAGACGCTGTTTTGGAATGCTCTAATGAACTGCTACAGTTGAGCCATCTGATAAGGAATCCCTCGTCGGACAATTACGTGCAGAAACTATTGAAATATCGTAATCAGGAACGAATAAGGATTCAAAGTTTTGGAATCTTGACACTTGTGTGGGTTTCCGAGTTTGGACCCAGTTGTGATTTGTACGAGAAACACTGTGAATACGTGCAGCCTAGGTGGCAGTCTTTCCCGCAGCGGGTGATTGACGTTGGAATTCTGGGACACTGGTACTTCCTGGAGAAGGCCATGATAGACTATGACGTCAATGAAGCTGAGCTGGCTGACTATCCACCGGACACACAGTAAATGGGAAACAATTAACTAGTGCCTGACTTTGATTTTCCAAGACAGAAGCTCCTTGAATAAAAATTGTAATTGAATTGAGGCAGTCTCAAAATTGAAATCACCCTACTCACTTGCAGGCTATTGTTATTATTGCAGGCGGTACCTTTTAGGGTATTGAGCTGAAAGAAGTTAGTGTCAGTTAATGTTGTTTTAGTTTAATTGGTACCTCTTGGGGATGAAAAAAATATTTGTCATACCCACAAACCAGTATCTTGGTACCTCTTAGTCGTCAGTGATGGGCTCCTGTAGGGGTCCTTTTCAAAATTTGCAATAAGCCTTTGTATATGGGAGTCCACCCTCCCCTCCCTCCCTGGGGGCTAGAAGGTGGCAGGGGGGAGAGGAGATGGAAAGAAAAAAGCTTCCTATTTGTNCCCCCCCCCCACAGTAAAAAAGCTTGATACTTGGGCTACAAGAGGGGAGATAGCTGGGGCATGCCCCTCCTAACGAAGCTGTGTGTTTGTTGCCTACCGTAGCTTCTGACCAGTAAAAGCATAGGCTGAAAATGAGTTTGAGGGATAAATGTTGATTTGCTGTAAACATTGTTATGTACTGTGTTGGCATTGCCCCTTCTAGTAATGACAGTTATGGTCATGTGACCACGGTGGAAACAGTATCGACAACTGAAGGGCATGTTTAAAAGATGAAATGATGAAATGTCACCACGGTTATCCTAAATAGTGCTCCAGGTAAGCCTAAATCATGCTCAGCTTAACCTAAATATCACTGACTTGAAAGTGATTTGCTCTCAGTTAGTAAGAATGGGTTAACCGTATCCCATTCCGTCATCTCGCCATTTCGTGTTTTAAACACGCTCACAACTGAGTTGCACGCTACCTGTTCCCACTCTTCCACCCCCCAGCCCTCAAAACAGCACCAGTTAACCTCTCATGCCCGAGCGCGGGGGCTTGCGGTTGTATGTGTGTTTTTTTGTTTTTGTTTTTGTTTTTTTCCCCTCCGGAAATGTTTAAACATACTCAACAAAGAACGAGACAGCGCGAAGAAGCGTGAAAATTGGTCTCGATTTCTTGCTGCCTTTTTATCTGTTACCTTAGATTTACAACTGGCGGTCTGGCCTAGTTCTCATATGCTAAAGTAATTAACCACTTTTTATGAATCTAACTTCACAAAGATAAAATAATTAAATTTCGAATTTCAGTGGTTTTCCTGTTCTGTGAGGTGGATATCTAGGGTCACCGTGAAACTTATTAAATATGATCTCCCAATCAGCGTGAACCGGAAGACGAGCAAACAGCACGTCTACTTAGATAATATATGTTTCTAGATACGCCTTGTGGCTGACAATCTATCGTAACAGAAAGTCTTTGCATACTATCACAAACAATCTTTCAAAATATGAAGGGTATTGAAAACGTTTTGTGGGGTACAAAAGAGAACCTTTGTGCCGTTTCTTGAATTTAAGGGTTGAGTGAATTTCAAGAAAGGGGTTTTCGATCTTTTGGCACCATTTTAGCAGATAATCAAGACTGATTAAAACTGACTGCTGTTGGTGAACGGAAACGTAATGGCGAACTACAGACCCATATATGGCCCGGGATCAAACAAATATCATTAAAATGCCGCTAAACCCCTGTCGCTTTTAACCTTGAAACATCCACTGAATTTGCTCCAGGCGTTTTGTAAACACCATAAACGTTTTGTTCAAAAATTAGCACCATTATTCGATTTTAAGGCCAGTTTCGAATTGCACTGATAAATTTCTTACGTCCTCGTAGACCTAAAGACAGAGATTTCAGATCCAGATTTTAAAATGAAATATCAGATGTGACAACACATATTGGCTTGACGAGATAAGATAATGAAAAATCAATTGACATGGCTGCCCATCCATTGTCCTGTTGTCAGTGACATAGCGCTAGTAAATTGTTGCCCTGGGGTAATTCCTAAAACAGTTTGAAAGTCTATTGAGAACCGTTAAAAAGGAAAAAAATATGCGCAGTTTCGAAAAATCGTCACAGAGAAAGCAATACTTGACATTTTGAAAAGTGATCCTGACTTTCGCAAGATGCGAGCTTAAAAGGTTCGAACTTTTCGTGTTATTTCAGTTTCAACTGTTAAGCCTGTATTCAATGTTATATCTTTGGCTGATCTCACACTGTGATCATAGGTGCGAGAACGGCATGTCATGAATAAGTTTACATTTTCTTCTATTCACTTAACCTTCCACAAGGTTCATCTGCTGACAACACGTCTACATTGATGCACGTTCTTTCGGTGGGGAACATGATATAGCCGCCCAGGCTAATTAGTCACTGTTGTTTCGAGATAAACTCGACTGAAGATGAGCTTGCAACGCCAGATCACTGTTAAAGTACCAGTAATGAAAATTTCTCCATATTACAGCAACGAAACAAGTGTTTTTCATGCAACTAACAACAATGTGCATGCATCTCCAGCGTTAGCTTTCGCTTCTGGTCCTGGATTTGAGTCGAAGCCGCTTGTACTAGACTTAAGGAATCTACCCAGTGTTGATTCTCCTGAGCTGGACAGTTCTTTGCGAGATATGTTAATGAAAAACATGAAATCCGGCAACGTCTTCACCGACGATAATGACGATACCGTTTCCGAAATTTCAGCTTGTAGTTCCATGGTTACTCTGGAAACTGTTGATGAGAGTGAATTAACCAACACTCCGACAGGAAACCGAAAGACAGCGAGGGCGTCTTCGTTCAATGCCGGATCGACGCCGCGGAATTCCGAAAAAACGAACGATGCCGATGAAGAAGATGGCCGAAAGACAGCGATAAAGAAATCTAAGAAAATCATTTCTGATTTTCTTACATTTAACGCGCCAAGTTTTAGTGGAAATGGGGCTAGTGAGGAAAACGATGAACCGAAGCCTCCTCCGCCGTCAGAGAGAAGAAGGAAACTTAGTATCACCAAAAGAATTTCACCGTTATCTTTGCATGGAATTTTCACTGGAAACCAATCAACAGGAACCAACAAGCAAGAAGCTACTAGCGAGCCCAAGGAAACTAAGAAGACGCGAAAATTATCACTGCAGACAATGTTTAAACCTTCGCAGCATTCAAACGAAAAAGAACGGAAGAGAAGAAACACTGACCCGCAACTTCCACCAAACCAACAAATAACAACTACCATTGAAAACGAAGAGAAGAAAGGAAAGGAAGAAACCTCGACTGTAAGTGGTAAAGAATCACAAACAAAGCCAGTACCGGAACAAGCGTTCTTTAAGGAAGACGATGTTAAAATACATGACCTGATCAAGCAAGTGTTACGAGCGCACATGTTGGCCATGACTGAGTATAAGCGCGAGACGTGTGATCGTGTTTGTAAAAGCATCTGCAAAATTTTGAAAACTCTTGTGGCGTCAATGAAGGAAACTGAAAAAGTCCAATGTAAAGTTGTGTGTCAGGCATATATTGGCTCTGTAAGGGACGAAGGAATGTTTGCTACAGTTCAGACTGTCTGGGAAAATGACAGAGATAATTTCGCAGCTGCGAGTTATAGAAATGATTCCTTGTTCGGGTTCGCGTCCGTTGTAACAAACGCTTTGTACTAAAGCGGAGCCGAATGACATTGTGAATATGACCTTTTCTCGTGACTAACTAATCTTCTTAACCATATTTTTGTAAACGGAAATGCCTTGAAAACCCAATGTTATTTTCATTCGCCAAAAGGAAATTGTTGCTTGCTATGTATAGGATGCCTGTTTCTGCAAGTGATAATGTCACCGTGGTATAGCTGTTTAGACTTCACTTTGCAATCAGATTAAAAATTATCATGTTGAGAAGTATGTCTTTTCTGAAAAATCTTGTTATATTTTTTCCGGAATAACTGCGGAGTTATATTTACTATGCCGGGATTAGTTTATCGCTCTATTCGGCTGCTTTTATTTTTGATACGATTATCTTCTTAGTGATTAGCATTTGTTTCTCTAAAACACCGAGGTTATCAAATCAAAATCGATCACCATATGTGCATGGGGTTCCTAAGTTGGCCCGTGATACGCAAGAGTCAAAAAAGAAGGATTTGTATGGGAACTCGCGGTTCTATTCTCTTGACTGTTCTTGATCAGCCTTAGGCCTGAAGAAATATGAATAAATATTGAACAAAAATAAACCTACCCCTCTTAAGATGTGTGGTTCTTTGTTTCTTGTGGGGCTTCTAGGTCGATTGCTGGCAATTTAGGTGGTGTTTAGTCCCTCTGATTTTCTTTCAAACGGTAGACTGAACTAAAACTCACCAAAATGGTTTGTACATCGGCCTAAAAGCCTCCCAAAAACAAAAAAAACACTCGCCTGAAGCGAGATAGCTTCACTTTGTTCAACATTCGTTCCTATCTGTTAAGCTTAGGATTAAAACCACTTTAGTTCCCATACAAATCCGGACATTTCGACTGTAACATCAGTTAAACAGGAAACACGGACGTTCACTTTTCCGAGCTTAGTAAGTAGTAAATAAGTAAGTAAACTTTATTTGATAAGTAGGTTGTAGAGGGGATTTGGCAGCCGAAGGACTGATGTGGACCTACTATACACAGAATATAAAATTTTACAAACACGAAAGATATTAACAAAAGAATAAGAACTATGTACAGGGGAAAATTAATAATCATATATACATATTTGATTCACTAAAACCTAATTAAGACAATATTGCCAGAAATTAGAAATTAGCTTTGGTTCCCTGCGGTGTGACACGGGTTTTAAAGACTTGACTCTACGGGTCGTTACGCTTTTAGCACCAGAACGTTCTTGCAGTTGTTGAAAGCTGATACCTCAGTTCTTTGAAATCATTCACATCCAAAGAACTGGAAAAAAGTCTCTGCATGTAATCGCTCAGAACAAGCTCTTCAAATGTTTGGAGTCGTTCGTAACATAGTGCTTTCTCTACGTAATTAAAGCAAAGTTCAGTGGTGGAAAAATGACGTGCTTTGGTTTTAGCAGGAGCTTGTCATTGATTCGTGGGGGAGGGGTGATTATCACCACCCCTAGTACGATCAAAATTCTTTGTCCAAAAGCCGCCCATTTTTCCAAGCCAAATACATCACAACTATCTTCATGTTTTGATGAAAGGTCGAAAAAGAGGGGATTCAGTTGTGAATGGCGCGGTGGCCTCATGGTTAGTGTGCTCGACTCCGGAACGAGCGGTCCGGGTTCGAGTCCTGGGGCCCGTTTCTCGAAAGTCCCGAAATGCTTTCGCGTCCGGAAAGCCGTAGCAAAATCTCAAACCTTATGATTACAGAGCTGTTTTATTCACATATTCTTAATATGAACAGAGGTTCCCTTCATACAAGAAGTTT